TTTTTGACTCCGTGAAAACAATTCTTCCTCCAGCTTGTATCCCTGGAAAAACACCCATGATTTTTTTGGAGCATTATTTAAACCTGATTTTTGTCACAGCAAAACATCTGATATCTTCTGTCATAACTCTGACAACTCAAATTTCTTTCAAGTTGTGAAACAGATAGCTCATAACCATCTTAAAAATGCTATTTGAATTATGTGTTCTTAATATACCACATCAAGAACAGCTGCCATTTTCGGATCCATGCTCACAGTTTTATGAAACGTTCCTGCTGTTTGGCTTTCTCTGATCCGCATTTCACAGATGGCAGAGTCAAGCAGCACCTGCAAATTCTGAAGCCTTTCCCTTCCAGACTATCCACCTTCAGAGATCCCTGGGTACCTCTCCCTCTATTCTTCTGCCTATGTTTGAGCTAGAGCAACTTTTAAATACTCAGCAAATTATACTAAAGCTCAACTCTAAATTAGACAGATATGTAAGGCACACCTGAACATATAATCACCCTGTACTTTTTTACCCATTCACACAAAAAACTCTAAAAATTATACAGCTCTATTGCATCGGTGAAAATACTTTTAAATTGCTATTATCATCTTAGTCTGTTTCTTTTTCATCATGATTCAATTGACACACATAAAACAATATCATTTCTTCTCTCAACTTCAAATTTTATTCCTAAACAAAATTATTTCTCTTCACATGAAACTAAGAAGACAAGCTAAAGAAAAGATGATGATAGATTTCTTTCTAAACCTTCTTGCTCTTTAGCTTTCTATCAAATACATTTTCCAGCTCTATACTGGAGAAGTGGCAATTATACCTTTATCAAAATTTTAATCTTTTGTACTTCATAGGACACCATGAAGACAATGAAAAGGCAACCTACAGAATAGGAGAAAATAATTAGGGTACTTCAAAAAGTTTGTGAAAAAAGAAAAGAGCATTCTGTTTTCCCTCAAATCAAGAACATATAAATTCCCATATTGGGACAGATTCATGGTCTCTAATCTGACTGTTCAGCATTTAAAAATATTAAAATTTTATTTTATTTTTTAAATTTAAATGCAATTAAAAGCTGACTTCAACTTTAAAAAAAAAAGTTTGTGAAAAAAGAGAATTAAAAGGTAATACAAATCTTTCCATGAACTTTTTGAAGTATTCTCACATTTGCAAATCATGTACCTGGTAACATCCAATATCCAGAATAAAGAACTCTTACTTTTCAATGACAAAAAGACAAATAACAATTTTTAAATGGGCAAAGATTATGAACAGACACTTCTCCAAAGAAGATAAACAAATGGTTAATGATCAGAAAAAAAGATGTTCAACGACACTAGTCATTAGAGAAATGCAAATCAAAACCACACGAGATACCACTTCATATGCATTAGGATGGCTATTAAAAAAACCCAACACAATTCCTATCCAAGTCATGGCACTAAAAATAACAACAACAACAAAACAAAAAACAGAAGAAGTATTGGCAAAGTTGTGGAAAAACTGGAATCTTCATATATTGCTAATGGGATTGTAAAATGATGAAATCACTCTAGAAAAGTTTGATGGTTCCTAAAAATGTTAAACATAGAATTACCACACGACCAGCAAAATTCTACTCCTAGGTATACACCCAAGAAAACAGAAAAGACATGTCCATTTAAATTAAAAAGACATTACACACAAATATCCATAGCAACATTATTCACAATAGCCATAAAGAGGAAACAACCCAAATGCCCATCAATTAAAGAGTGAAGGGTTAAACAAAGGGGGTATTTGTCCATACAATAGTATATTATTTGGCAATAAAAAAGAAAGAAAGACCTGGATGAAATTTGAAAACACACTAAGGGAAAGAAGCCAATCACAAAAGACCCCACATTTCATTCATATGAGGGTATTTCAAAGAGTTCATGGAAAAACTGAATTGAAACATAATATGAATCCTTCCACGAACTTTTTGAAGACCTCTTGCATGAAATATCCAAAATAGACAAATCTATAGAGACAGAAAATAGATTAGTAGTTGCCAGGGACTGAGGCAATGAAAATGTTCTAAGATTAGACAGTGGTAACAGTTGCGTAACTCTGTGAACACACTCAAAACCACTGAATTATATTTTAAATCGATGGATTTTATGGTATGTGAATTTTATGGCATCTCAATAAAGCTGTTAAAAAATAAATGCAAAAAAATTCAATAAGAAAAGAAGCAAAGTTTGGTATCTGCTAAAGCATAAACAGACCAAGAAAAGCCAAGTCACCCCCAAGTGACATCTCCAAGTCACCAAGATAGGCCCCAGGACAGGAAGTGACAGAAACCTACTCCTGTGAGGACAGCCACAGAACTAGCTGTCCAGAGCCAAACTCCACTCAACCATCATTCACGGGCTAGGGTGCAGGGAGCACAGTGGGAAGCCAAATCAGGCCGTCCCTGCTTTCATGGAGCTTAAATTCCATGAGTGAAGGAAAGAGTGGTGAGGTAAACACATTTATGTGGGTGTGTGATGATTTAATGAAGATAAGTATTTTAAGGGGAAGGAACATAGTTCTACTACAGTCTAACAAAGGTCCTGAGCTAGGATGGGGAGAGAGGGCAAGATTCCCTGAAGAACTCAAGCTTGAGTGAAAAAAGGAAGGGTGAAATAAGCGTTAATTTGAAGAAAAGTTGGGGGGTGTGGGGCAGTGTCTGAGGAAACTGCAGATACACAGGACCTGTTGGGGGGCAAAAGCGGGGAGTCACTAGTAAGCAAGTAGAGGAAGCCCAGAGTGACTGTAAGGCAGAGAGCAAGAGACTGGTGTGCAATGGGACCTCACAGCCACACCAAGGATTTGGTTTCAATTCTAAGACCTACAGAATGCACTGAAAGGCTTTAAGCAGGTGACTGATGTGGTCCAATGTGCATTTTTGGGAAAGGAATAGGAAAGAACCAAAGCAGATCCTGGCAGACCCATTAATGGGCTACTACAGGAAGCCAGGACAGAGATGAGGATTGCCTGGATCCAAGTAAGGGCAGTGGGCATCACAGGAAGCAGACAGGATCTGCCAGACAGAGTGAATAATGGGCAAGACACTCTAGCTCTCTATGAGGACTGCAAGGTCAGTTTCCTCTCTCGCCTTCATTGTACATATCTAGAAATTAATCCCCATCAAGAAAGGCAATCTGGGGCCGGCCAGGTGGCGCACTGCTACAGTGCACCGCTTGGGAAGCGAGGCAGCGCTCCCGCCGAGGGTTCGGATCCCACATACAGACCGGCCGCTCACTGGCTGAGCGAGATGCGGGAGCAACACCGAGGGTTGCAATCCCATTGCCGGTCCCGGTCCGGTACGAGCGCGACACTGAGGGTTGCGATCCGTTGCCGGTCACAAAAAAAGACAAAAAGGGAAAAAAAAAAAAAAGAAAGGCAATCTGAACACATGTCTTTGTTCCAATACTTAGATCACTACTAATATGGCATCTGGCACTCAGAGCTCCCCATCTCAGTCACCAGAGAAATCTGGGAATTAGCTGCCCTTCTTTGCTGAAGATCAGCCCTGAGATAAAGCTAAGAATGTTCATTTGCTGAAACCCATACTGCCAGCATATGCAAATTACACTTACTTTAGTCCTTTCCAACCCCTCTTCCAAAACTGCAAGTCAGATTACATCAGTCCTCTGCTTAAGACCTCTCAATACATCCCCCTTGGTTTCAGGATGTAAACAAATTCCAAATTTGCAAATTAAAAGAAATCTCCCTTAAAATGCTGGGAGGAGGGGCTGTTCAATTTTATGAAAATGAAAGTAATATTTAAAATCCCTAGGAATTATCTATTCGGTGACAAAGCTCCAGATATTCCACTACAGGTAAATTAATTTTGTTTTCTTTCCCCCTAGAATGTAAGTTGCATGAAGATGGAAATGGTAGACCAAAGCGTGGAACATAGCTCAATAAAACTGCTTAGTGAATGAAAGTCCCAGACTGATATTACTGACTACAAATTCTAAGTTATGTTCTTTATTTACCAGTCAGAAAGAAAGGGTAGGAGGTAAGGTTCATGATATATTGGTTCAAGAGTTTTTTCACTTACAAAAGTTACCCATAGTAATAAGGAAATACAGATAATCACAGGGAAACAGTGGCCAACCCTATAAGCTACTAATGAAATGTGTGTTATAGTTATCACTACACATCTACGGAAATACCGAAAGCATTTCTTTCCACTCAGCCACATCCAGCAGGACTAGAAGCAGGGAGAGGGGAAAGATAGTAAGACAGCTTTGGAGGCATGTCATTATTGGTGACCTGGTGGTTCTTGCTTCTTGAAAGCAATCTGGCATTTTTACAAGCTCTATGAAACAGTTCATAGTCCTTATCTACAGAATCTCTCCCCTCTTTATGAAATACACCACAAGGAAACAGATGATCCAAAAGAGAAATAAAGAAACTTAGAAAATAGGTACATGGTCTAATGGTATTAATAATAAAAAACGGTCATCATCTCCAACGACCAACAAAAGGATTAAGCAAGGGGCCGGCCTGGTGGCGCACTGCTACAGTGCGCCGCTTGGGAAGCGCGGCGGCGCTCCCGCCAAGGGTTCGGATCCCACATGCAGACCGGTTCCCGCTCACTGGCTGAGCGAGGTGCGGGGGCAACACCGAGGGTTGTGGTCCCGTTGCCGGTCCCAGCCCGGTACGGGCGCGACACTGAGAGTTGCGATCCGTTGCCGGTCACGAAAAAAAGACAAAAAGGAAAAAAAAAAAAGATTAAGCAAAGTGGAATACCAACTGTGGACTATACAGCCACTAAAAAGAGGTATATAGATTCCACTGCTGCTGTACATACCCATAGTATGTCTATACATAACAGGATTTTTTCAAAAAGCAGAAAACTGTGAACCCCCAATTTTGTCTATGTAAAAAGAGCTGTATGTACTCTGAAAAAGATATGTAAGTGGAGAGGGATAAGGAGTTTGGTGTTTACTAGCATTCAAAGTAAATCTATTAAAATGACCTGTGTTTGTGACAGCTGAATGCTCTGGACTTGTGGAAGCAGAAAATAAGCATTTGGTAGCTGCTTTGCAGATCCTTCTGTAGAGATTCTGCGAGTGCTAATTCCAGACACCTGCAGAAAAAGAAAGAGAATTGCTCTTCTGTTAAGAGTTTTAAAACACAGTGGCCATCGTGCTAAAATACCTCTCCAAAGGAAAGCTGTATTCATCACCATGGCCTTGAAGACTCTATTAATCCAATTATTATACTTACCTTTGTCTATAAAAAGCACAATGAATGTTGCTGTATTTAAGCTAAATATTCCTCCCTGCAGCAAATATTTTCACAAGTAGACAACTCTCCTGATACGGGACCACGTGTTTAATGGAATCCAACAAAAAAGCAACTGATCTTGGCACTTAAATTACTTGATGCCACATCCTATTAAAGATATTACAGGTACCACCTAAGATAAAGATTCTGAACTATTTTTATGAACCCCAACAAGATTCTTCATGCTTCCTTCCTAGAATCTTGATATAAACAGTGAGCTCCCTGGGAACTGGCTCCCAAGCACACAATCAATGTCTCCTGACTAGAAATGTTTCTGAGCCAAGGAGTGGAGGTAGGCAAAATCACTAGAGGTTGTCCATACAGCAAACACCATCTGAACTGTTTGTGAAGTGAGAGCCGTGAGTTTTGAAAGCCTACTGTGTTTCATACTAGAAAACTGCGTGGCAGATTTCTTTGCTTTGTTCCAATACGCTTCAAAGGTCCACAGTAGGTTTACAGCTCTACAGTCTGTACTGAAGACAGCCAACTGTAGCATGTGAGGTTGAAGAAGGGTGAAAGCTGATGAATTTAACATCTTTTTAAGAAGCACATAATATCAGACAGACATAGTAAGGAAATAAATAAAAAACTACTAGCAATTAGGATCTTCATTAGTTAAAAGTTAAAGACCACTGAAATTAAACTATTAGAAGACTAGGGTTTGAGTTCTATGTTATGGTGCAATCAGCTTCATAAGAAGCCAGTCATTGCCTTTTAGTGCCACATTTAGAAAGGAGTCCTAACTTTCTTAGTAAGTTTGAGAGGTGGAAGAGGTCACAACTATAAACTTGCATTAGTTACTAACGGCCTTAGCATTTGTAGTAACTTCAAGACAAATAGTACAAACTTTCCTTAACCATGATAAAGCTATGTTAAATATACATACATTACTACCTAGTTTAGACTCTTTAAACTTTTTTTTTCCCCAGGTAGATATTAATAGCCACCAAAATGATGAAAATGAACTTAAAAAATAAATGCTAAAGCAAACACACAGAAGGAAAAAGTTTGGGTAGCAGAAAAAGGGGAGACAGAGAGCAGAAAGTAAAAATGTCAGGCCAAAAAAAGCAAGAAAACCTGGCAGGCTGCCACAGCATAGTTTCCAGGAGTACATCAACACTCACCCTGCAATGAACAGGAGGCACATGAAAATGTCGAGCCGTTGTAAACACAGAATTCACCACAACCTCGCTATCCCTGCTAGGGTTGTAAGCATACAGAATCTTTGCTGCAGGACGTCCCAAGAACCTAGGAGGGGAAACAAAGAGAAAAAAAAAACATATCGTGTGGTCATCGATATTACTACATGTACACATATACATTTAAGTACATACACACATACAATTTTAAACCTAGAAAGTTAAAACTTTATTATAAAGTTAAAAACAACAATTATCAAATCCTGCCAGCAACAAAACATTTAATTCACAACAGTCAAAAATCAAAAAACAAAAAAACCCAACTTTCTTTTATTAGACGTATGTCAACCCACTGTAGCACCCAATTGGTTTCTGTGTTAGAAGTATTCAGCCCATTTAGGCCATAAAATACTTGCAAAAACACATACTGGCACTTATTGCCACTTCTCTGACTTGGGTCTCTAATTCAAATGAAAATATGTTTAGATAAGAAACTGTACACACAGAAAAACCCAATTTTCTTAGGGTTTGTTTCCTGAGTAATAAATTTAAAGAGGCTTTTCTTGGGAATCAATTTTCAACTCACAAAGAGACTTTACGTCTTATAAAAGGAAAACTTAATTGTTGCCCAAGGCCATTCTTCTGAGAAAAATGAAAACCCTGCAGTACTTTCTAACAGTGGCTTTTATCCATTTAAGTTATGAGTCTTTCAGAAAACTCTGACGGAAACTTGGGCTCCTCCCTCCACAAACATGCCTGTACAAAAAATTTCATACAGAATTCCGAAACTTCCCAGGAGCCTCAGAGTAAGAATCCCTGCTCTAAAGCAAATACACCACGTCGTGAAGACCTTGATCACAGTTCTTTCTAGCAGTGTTCTCCACCTACAACATCTGTCTGTCGGCTCTGACAAAGGAACTGCAGGAGGGAAGGAGCTGCCCACCTCTAATCACTTAACTCTGACCCCTACTGCCCGATACCAAATCCACTCTAGTTAAATTATGCTGTAATGAACAAACAGCTAGCAAAAATTTCACTGAAGTCATCTCTCCAGTTTTAATACCCTCCGTAGCACAGACCTAAATACACAGTTCTCGTTAGTATAGCCCAGAAATAAAACTACATTCTAATTTAAGCCAAAAACAAACAAAACAAACCCTCATATACAGTTTGCTTGCATTTCTCTGATTTTATTCTGATTTCTCTCATATTAAAAACGTGTGCACTGTTGGTTAGAGCATGGTGCTGATAACACTAACGTCTGGGGTTTGATCCCTGTACCGGCCAGCAAAAAAAAAAAAAAAAAAAAAGTGTACTTTAGGAAAAATGAAATGCATGTTGTTTCTCTTATATACAATAGGATTTCCAAAAATACTGTATTACTACCATCAAAACCTTAAAATTTTTCTTTTAGCTTTCATTCTTTTAATCACTAGTCTTGAAGGGTTTAATATAGCCAATAAGCATTTTTTAAAGAAAGTCCTTTATATCCAGTTACAAATAAAATACACATCAGGGTGATTAAAACCTTGATTTTTTAGAGTGTTCTTAAAGTTATGAATAGTAAATGGCTCTTTACGGTAGTGTAAAAAAATTTTTTTTAAATTGTATTAGTTAAAAAAATTTTTCTTTACACTATAAAGTTACCTCCGAAAGTCCTACCTCAGAGTATTAGGCTCACATTTGCCTTTCTTGCCACAATTAAATAAGTAAGAACTTCTGTGGTTTTAGGTTTTAAGCAAATAATATGAATCAATCAGCAAAGTTATTAATACTTATCTTCAAAGCCTATGTACTACTTATACAAGATTTCTGTTTTCAAAGAATACAGATGTCTACCAGAGAAACACCTCAGAATATAAGACTGCAAAACTTAATGCTACCGAGCTCAGTAACTGCATCCACCAGAATCCTCACCAGGCCTACCAGAGAAAGCTGGCTGAAACCTAGTTACTAGTGTGCTATTTTTATTCTACTTTATTAATTCTATTTTTAAAAGTGTTATAAGGATATGAATTTCCTTCACTAGTCACGGAAAAAAAAAAAAAAAAAAAAAAAAAAAGTGTACTTTAGGAAAAATGAAATGCATGTTGTTTCTCTTATATACAATAGGATTTCCAAAAATACTGTATTACTACCATCAAAACCTTAAAATTTTTCTTTTAGCTTTCATTCTTTTAATCACTAGTCTTGAAGGGTTTAATATAGCCAATAAGCATTTTTTAAAGAAAGTCCTTTATATCCAGTTACAAATAAAATACACATCAGGGTGATTAAAACCTTGATTTTTTAGAGTGTTCTTAAAGTTATGAATAGTAAATGGCTCTTTACGGTAGTGTAAAAAAATTTTTTTTAAATTGTATTAGTTAAAAAAATTTTTCTTTACACTATAAAGTTACCTCCGAAAGTCCTACCTCAGAGTATTAGGCTCACATTTGCCTTTCTTGCCACAATTAAATAAGTAAGAACTTCTGTGGTTTTAGGTTTTAAGCAAATAATATGAATCAATCAGCAAAGTTATTAATACTTATCTTCAAAGCCTATGTACTACTTATACAAGATTTCTGTTTTCAAAGAATACAGATGTCTACCAGAGAAACACCTCAGAATATAAGACTGCAAAACTTAATGCTACCGAGCTCAGTAACTGCATCCACCAGAATCCTCACCAGGCCTACCAGAGAAAGCTGGCTGAAACCTAGTTACTAGTGTGCTATTTTTATTCTACTTTATTAATTCTATTTTTAAAAGTGTTATAAGGATATGAATTTCCTTCACTAGTGACAACTGGAAGATACTCTATTAATTTAAAACAACAGAAGAATGATTAATTCTCTTATGAATGATTAGCACTTTTAATCTGGGACCAGCAAAATATTAACTCTCAAAATAAGCCCTAAGAAATAGGCAGAGGGTAACTGAGTAAGATGATCCCGATTTTGCATCCTAGAGGGAAACCAAAGCCATGAAAATGGCTGGGGTTTGCCCAAGGTCGGCATCAAAATAAACAATAGCAAATGCTCGACTAAGACAGTGAAGAAATGAGGAGGATTTTCTGGCTAAAGTTTTACCTATAATGCCTGTAAACTATGCAATTTGTCATAAGTAAGGTAGAACAGGACTAATTTTTAAATGTGTTCTAATTAAAACTAAAGTTTGTTCTTACTAAGATTTTTTTTTTAATTCAGCAAAGTAATTTATTCCCATAATTATATCCTGGATCTTACTAATAAGGAAAACTAGCATGGTGAGTGCTGGCTTAGAAATCAGACTTATTCTATCACCTCTAGTGAAATGACCTTGAGCAAAGTGTCTTACGTCTCAACCACAAATGTATGAACACATGTAGTACACGCTCAAACACAGAGACATCTGAAAATGATACACACACGGTCAGATAATGCTTGCCTTCACTATCCTTCCAGGATTGATATTAAACTCAAAAGACAAGAGATATGATTACACTTTGAGAACTATAAAGTACTACATAAATGTAACTGAATCATCCAAAGATGATTCAAATCTAAAAATCAGTAATTCTGGCAAATAAAAAACTTTCAACATGCTTCTAGCTATCAAGACCAGCAATTAATGTATATTTGGTAATTAACATATATGTTAATATAGACATACACCCATGTGCACTGATTATAGGATTTTCATGTTACTGAAGAGTAAATACATTAGCCAAGATCCTATAAACTGGAACTGTTATCCTAATCTAGCTACACTTACTACTATCCATCTTATTATATCTACCAATCTATAATATATACTCTTAAAAACTCCTACATTAAAATTTCTTTTTACAATAAAGACTTTTCACAAAAGCAAAGTACCCTCTCAGAATCTGAAATCATTGAGATTATAAATTCAGCTTATTTATATTATCAGCTAAATTATTATAAATTCAGAAAAAAAGCAGACACCTAGAATATTGTAAAGTCAGTAAACTCCCTCACAATTTTATCTCTTTTTTCCTTGTACAGAATCTCCCTCAAAAAGTTCAACAAGGTACTTTTAAATTTCAGGTTCATTCTCCTTCACTGCAGCTCTAACCTTTTGATGATCAGAAAGAAATGGAAAGAAGGCAATCCAGATGAGTGAAGGAAGGCACACAGGACACCACCAGTAACCCACCCCAGATGCTCTGCAATGACCATAGTTATTTCATTCCCATAACTTTGCTTGGAACTCACAAAAGCTGTTCGTAAAACTGAAGTGATGTACCCAGGCCCCTGACACAAGCAAAGCTTTTATGATGCTCTGCAATGACCATAGTTATTTCATTCCCATAACTTTGCTTGGAACTCACAAAAGCTCTTCGTAAAACTGAAGTGATGTACCCAGGCCCCTGACACAAGCAAAGCTTTTACATCTCAAACACTGTTACTCCCACCCTTGAAACTACTGATTTCAAGTTATAACTTCAACGTTGCTTATTCTGCATCCAGGGAGCTTAATACTTTGTTTCTAGGACTTTATCGCAGACAATAAGAGTCCTTAAATTGCTTCCTTCCCACAGCTTCCCCTTTTCTTCCTTAGTTTCTCTGTGTTCCAGATTAGGCCCTCAGATCACATTCTCTTCATTTCACAGTTCTTAACATGACATACTGTAAGTCACTACAGCTTATCTGCTGTCTTCCCCACTTGAGTTTCCAAAGTCTTAATCTTAATAACTATTAGTACAGTGCAACTTTGAATCCAGAAGGCACAGCAAGAAATAAAAACAAGTGTGTCATTAAATCTAGCTTCAAAGAATTCAGAAACCATCAATATTTAGAGTTTTTCATTATAAAAAATAATAATAATAATAATGATTTGTTTTGGAAAAACAGAGACTTAACATTAACTTCTTACTAAATTCCAATCACTATAAAATATTACAAGGGATATTTATTACAAACTAAAGAAAGGGCTAAAACAACTCCTATACTCTCCTTTTCACAAAAAATATTCCTTTTAGCAAGTTCCAGGATCAATATCCCTTTATATTACTAATATACTTAAAAGTTATCATTGTACATTTATATAATAAATAACCTTAAAGTAAATAATACAAATAAAATGATATTTTTTTAATTGTAAAGATACTTACTGTATTCCAAAATCTAGAACTGATGGCTGAAAATGTAAGCCTTTTCCACTAAGTAGTTTGTCTGAGAAGCTAAAAAAAGAGAAAAGAGAGAATAATTTTTGTAGTTTTAAAATTTGGATGCTGAATTAAGATAATGTACTTAGACCAGTGACTCTCAAGGCATGAAATACTATTTAACTCCCTTATCCATGAATCTGAACTAGATTTTAAATGATGAAACTGAATTATTAGAAGTCTAGTATAATTCCAGAGTTTCAAAATTTAAGATCCTCTTAGATTATGCTTAGTACAACTTCATATCAAATGTACAGATCTTGTAAGCATTCAGACAGAAATTGGGATGGATTTAATTTTTAATAGGCCTCATTTCTGAATGAATTCAGATAACCTGGCTGTTTTCATAAGCCCCAAGTCAAGAAAGAGATCCAAGTAAGGTGGGCTGGGAGGGAGGGGACCCTGGCCCCCAAGTTTGTTAGAGTACTCATAACTGGGAAAGGGTGGTGCAGAGCAGCCAGGAAGCTATCACCAAGCCTGTATCTGTAAGAATAACAATCAAGTAAACTCTCACACATGGCAGGTCACATTTTCAGCAGTTGTTAATCATTATTATGATTTCATTTTCCTTCAGGATCAAAGCCACAAATCAATAGAGCAGAAAAATATACCAAAAAACATATAAAGAAAACATGGGAACAAAAAAACTTTAAAGATATAACAAAATATATAAGCATATTTATTTAAAGACATAAAATACAAAAACTGTGTGTGTGTGTGTGTGTGTGTGCGTGTATAAATGTCAAAAAACTATCAACTGCCATATGACATTTTAAAAGCCACATAATCCAAAAATGTTTAACCAGAGATAAAGGTAACACGTATAACTGTTTTCAAAGACTGCAAACTAGCTTTCCAAAATATAATCTTCCCATTTTCTTTTCCCACCAAGTAGCCCCTGACCAAGCTGATTCAGAGGTGGGTTCAGGTGTGGACATTTCAGTTTTAAACCTGCTGGCCAATAAGAAGCTTTATGACCTTCAGCAAGTCCCTCTCCAAGTTCCCATTTTTCTTGAAGGTACAACCAATGCTGAGACCTGGGAATGCCTTCCAAAGTCTTCATCTCAGGAAGAATTCTGGCTGCAATTTTTTCTTCCTCCCTCCATTTTCTGCCTTTATCTAAGCTTTCCTTCCCCTATCCTCTCTCCTTAAAGTCCTTGCTCCATTATCGTCTATCTATATCTCCTTCACCCTACCTCCAACAAGAGCTGTATTAATAATAAAGGTGATGCTTCTGGGCCAGCCCGGTGGCGCATTCGGTAGAGTGCTGCGCTTGGGAGCGCAGTGGCGCTCCCGCCGAGGGTTCGGATCCCATATAGAGACCGGTCCACTCACTGGTTGAGCGCGGTGCGGGCGCGACACCGAGGGTTGCGATCCCATTGCCGGTCATGAAAAAAGACAAAAAGGAAAAAAAAAAAAAGGTGATGCTTCTATCTCCATCTGCCTATCTCTTGCCAATCTCCCACTCATTTTGAGTGTGGGCAGAGAAGAGGTAAGCTTATTTACTGGACTCCCTCAAACCCTAAAAGGCCAGCAGTAATTCCATGACTTGCTTGCAGAGAAGGCCACTAACACACCCAGTTGCCTCCAGAAATGATTTGAAGAGCCATAGGAAGTGATGGAAGTGAAGAGGTGCCAACAGCAGGCCCACCATGGCCACCCTATTCCAGACCGAGCTGGCTAGGGCTCAGCATTCCAGAAGAAGAAAACAGGCAACTTCACAGAACAAAAATTAACTCTGGCAAAGTCAGGCCACTGTATGAGTATGAGTAAAATATTTAATGACAGTCTTCTTCCTGTCCTGTACATCTGATTTTACACACAACTTCCAAACGAACAGATGAGGTTTGGAGTATTTTAGTAATTCACCCAAGGTCACATAGCTACTAAGAGACAGAGCCAAAATTCCAACCCAGATCTGTCGGGGTTGGAAACACGAACACTGTTTGGGTTCAGGCATCTCATGACCTACCCAAGGAACCAGTGCAGTCTAGCCTGCTGGGTGAGGCTTGGGCTACAGCAAGCAGACAAACCTAGATTCCAGGCCCCAGGCCACCATTTCTAGTCCTGAGTGGATCAGTTGCTTAACTTCTCTAAAGTCCCAGCATTATTATCTGTAAAATGGAGACAACAATAGTATCTACTTTATAGTAAGAATAAAATGAGATAAGGCTTTTGTTTCATGTCTGACACAGAGTTGTGCAATAAATATTAGATCATGTTACTAAGAGGATGACACTCATCTAACAAGAAAAGCAAAGAGAACAGAAGGAGAAGCCAAGTGAGCTTAAAGTCAAAGTTGACCTCTGGAATTGAAAGTCCTAAATGGGATAGGAGTAATTACCACTGAAAAGAACAAATGAAATATAAACCCGGGCTGTCTCACAACATAACAGATTTTTAAATCCCACAATCAGGAAGTTTCACATACCCAACAAAATTAATTAATAAGTTAACTCACAGATAAAACCATTTTAGACATAGGTACTGACCCAGAAAGTACTCACATACCTAAGTCCTCAGATATTTGTTAAAAAGACTGAGGGGCAGTAGCAAACCACCAAAATTTAGTCAAATGTGGACATCAACAATTATCCTCAAATAATAGTGAGAGCTAAGAAATTATATTGTGCTTGAAATGCAAAAGTTCTCATTTCTAAATCGACAGCTTCCAAAAAATAAAGTCTCAAGGGCCACAGCAACAGAAGGTAAGACTTCCTCCCCTTCCTCCTTTGCCTCAAAAGCCAGCATTTCACATTTCACCCTTGATAACACTATGATTCATTCATGTCAAAGTCCACCTGGCCTCTTTCACTCCTAGGAGTCCCCACACTGGCATAAAATAAACACATGCATCTTATACAAATCAATTATAAATTCATGCCACATATTTCTAATTTTCACCCTTTCTCTGTCTGTGACATAACTGTAAAGAAAAGCTCTTAATAGAGAAAAATAAAAGAGGGACCGTTTTGCTTCTATAACAGGAGATAGGCTTAGGGATAAGAAATTAAAGCAAAAGTAATCTGAGGTGTGTGAGCTCCTGTCTACACAGACCTTTCCCACACACTCTCTAAGTCCTTATTCTAAAAACCTCTGCAAAGAAGAGCTGAGCTTACGCAGTGGCAGGACAAGTGGACAAGGAATTCCACATATTATTTTGAAAAAACTACTTATCTTTGCCTAAAATTACTTGGCTTTTTCTTTTCTTTTTAAAAAAAAAAACCTTGGCCACTTTATGTATAAAAACAAAGAAATGGTTTGGAAAAAGTGGCTAGTACAAGAGAAAAGAAATTTTGCTGGAAACTAGACGACCTTAGGTCAGGTCCCAGCTGTGATAGGAGCTCCCATGTGACACAGGGTTTCAGTTTCCTCTTCAGCAATAGGAGAGAGTTACGCTGGATAAATCCAAGATCCTTACAAAAGCATTTGAATGCCCAGATTCCTTATTCCCAGGAAAATTAAATCTGCTGATATCAGACATAATCCTTTAAAAAATCAGGCTAGTAACTCATATGGAAATGAGTTCACTGTAACCTGCTGTTCCTGCTGTTCACGAATGTTATCTGACCAAAATATGTCATTTCAAAGGCTATGTTCCACCTCTCCAGAGGGAGCAGCAGGGCCCACTGACGCCAGACCCAGTCTTCCAGCTCCTGGCAACTTAAAAGGGCTTGGCTGCACTGGGGCAGGTGGCCAGCTCCAGGAACACACCCCTCTTGGGGTTATAATCCAGGAAGCCAGACCAGGTCTGTATGCCAACAAGCAAAACTCAAAGATCAAGAGTGCAAATAGGGAAAGGGGAAAAACCCACCTGAAAAATCCAGCAAAAGCTCCGAAGAGTCAGGCTATCTGAAATGGGCCTTGACAAATAGCCACTATGGATGGACAGTGAATGGAGGCTGCTTCCAGCAAAGCTACAGGCACGAGCAAATACAGACTGAGAAAGCATGGGCCAGGTGTGGAGAACACCGTGTGAGAAAGGAAAGCACAGTGGCAAGTTAGCCTGCGGGCTCTGAGCGGTAGGGTGAGGAGCAAGGCGAGCAGGGGAGCACAGGACAGAGGGCAGCCCTCGCAGGCACTGCAGCTCACCTGGGAAGTGGCTGGACTGCAAGAGGGGCGTGAGGGGGAGTCAGCAGGCTCTTGGGACACTCCATGAAACAAGACTTAGGAGCTATGGATCTGTGCTGGATGTAACCGTAAAGGTTTAACCAAAATCTGGAGAACATCGTAAGGTTTCAAAGAGGACCTGTCCTTCCCAAACAAGTGAAAACTAGTTTTACCTCCTAACCGTGACAGGGAGGATTGACCTGTCTGGTTTTCCATATTCCTCAATGGACTGCTTTCCATCTCTCTTGACATCCCTACATCCACAGCTAGCTTGCCTTTTAGATGCAAATTCTTCCAACGCCTGGAAAGAGCAACATGTATTTCTAAGGCCATGATAATATAAAGCATAGATATAGACAAAAAGGTTGCACGGACAAGAGGAAAGGTTTTCCACCCATTTCACAAATCCCCTCTGCCTCAAAAAAGGTAACATAATAGACCACACCAAAAAAATGCTATTGTCTAGACTCTGAAGTGTTCAAGGAACCACATGTTATGTTGATAAGCTGCTTACGGGGCTGTTCTTATTAGTCACAGACTGTGAGATCTCAGTGCTGAAAATGCAGTAAAAGACTTGCAGACTCATGAAGGTAGGCATCCGTGTGTTAAAACCCTTGGGCCCAGCCTTCTAAAAAATGTCCAGTGGGATACTTAGTCATTCACCATCTTCTCCTGAGCAGGAAACAGGTTTCTAGGACTCAGCTGCTACTCCCAGGGACATCAGAGGAATTCAGTACTTTTCTATCACGCAACCGGACCTCAAATTGATCCCTGCACAGATATAAAAAGCCCCAGCCTGTCGGGGAGAGTCTGTACTGAGGCTTGTCCACAGTTAGTCTGATCACTCCAGGGCAAGGTCTCCCACTGGCTCTCAGCGCTGACGCTGCTGAGATTCCTGTGATCTCAGGCAAGGCACAGAGTTTTTTTTTGTTGAAAAACTCATAACCTGAACTGCATGATTTATGAAATGGGTTCTATAACTACATGAGTTGTAAAATTCTACATCATAATCTTAGTACTACAAGTTGTCTTCTGTCTTTAATTTAAAAAATACTTCTCCCCTGAAGTTTACTGATAGGAAAAACATGAAATACACAGACATTGCTACTTAAGTTAGAAATTTACCATTCTTCCTAGTAAATTAAGTACAGTACTTGCAAAGAAGTACTTAACAAGAAAGGGAGAAATCAGTATTTTTTCCCCATTAGAATCCCTCAGAGGGGGAGAAAAAGCCATTTAGTAAAACATGACTTTCCTCCAGTTTCTTCCACTGCAGAGAAGGCTTCAGGCTTCAAGGTCCAAGCATTAACTAAACTGAAAGAGAGGATCAAAGGGAAAGTCCCAGGAGCAATAACAACAGTGGTCAGCCAGAGGCGCTCCGGCTGGTAATGGGATACCTGCGTTGTAAGGCAGCCTAGCCTGTTGATGGCCAGAACTTCCTACAGCTATGACAAAGGTCCTCCACACTAATCTGTCCCTCAAGTCGCTGACATTCTTCTCGGCGTCCATAACACCCATGGAGAGATGCTGCTTCTCTCAAAGACGTTCCTTCTGGATGGATCCTGGGCTCACAGCCCCTGTCCTGCCCTCTCCAGGATTTCGCTGACATTCTTCTCGGCGTCCATAACACCCATGGAGAGATGCTGCTTCTCTCAAAGACGCTCCTTCTGGATGGATCCTGGGCTCACAGCCCCTGTCCTGCCCTCTCCAGGATTTTCAACATCTCCCTCCCCCATCTGTTGCCTCCACTTACACATAGAGAGACTCGGCTCACGTAGGAAGAGACCCTCTGAGCTTCCACAGCTGCTTCAAGCCCTCTTCCTCCCTCTGTAGCCAAAGTGTTGGTGAAAGGAACATTGACAGCAAGGACATTTACTAAGCATTTATAGTGCACCAGATGCTGTGCCAGGCACTTCATCATCACACACATCCTATGAACCCGGCGTGGATACTATTATCATCCCAATTCCACACAAAAGGAAAGAGATGCTTTGCTTGGAGGGTTTAAGTGACTTCCTAAGGCCCACTCAGCTAGGGGTGGTTGCACGGGCACGGGAGGGCACATTCAGAAGCCCTTGCTGCTCTGCCTCCACCCCACTCCTCTCTGCCTCCAGACTCACTACCAACACTGCTCCTGCTGAGGTCATCGCAGGCTGGAAATCAAGCACTGAGCTTGCTGACTCCCTCCAGTGGCTGTGCCTCCTGAACCTCCCTCCCTTGGTTTCTAGGAAACCTCTCCTACTTCACCGACCTCTGTGGCTGCTCCTTCTCCTCTCCCTCTCAGGCTCCTCTTCCTCTGGCCATCTCTTCCATGCCACCGTTTCTAGACTCTTCCTCAAGTCTCTCCTCACTATGGCATACACCCACTAGGTTCACTAACACCAATAGGTTGGTGCTTCCTACTCAGACATTTGTCATTTCTGCAGGTTTCAGCATCTTCCTTACTATGCTTGCAGATTTCCCACTGTCACCCCTTCTGGACTTGGAAAGGGCCAGTTACCAGTTTTACTTTTGGCTAGGATGCTGGCATGTGACCTGGACTTCTCCAGATTCACCCACCTGCACTGATAAGGGAGGGAGGGAAGAAGAAGGAAAGGAATAAGAATTCATCCTGGGGACAAACAGCAGTAGTGCAGCAGGGTAAGCGGCAGGGGTTGTAGGGTCCCCAGCAGCCTACTTCCACGGCATAATTTTGGCTGTGGTTCTAGCTGCAAAGTCCCCTTCTTGCCGGTTTGTTTTCTGAGCCTGGTTCTTAAGTCTTCCTAGAGATTTTGTCAGCTGCCCAACATCTTTTCAATAAATTCCTCTTCTGCTTAAATCAGCCAAAGTTGGTTTCTGTGGTCTGACTGATTCATTTCCCAAGCCTCTGTATCTGTGGCCTAGACTCCTCCCGCTGAGCTCCTGACGCGTGTTTCCATCTGTACCAGACGCCAGCCGTGGTGGCCACAGCCACCTCCGTGTGGAACCCAAGATGGAGGTCGACATCCCACTGGCAACCCCCTTTTGGTTCTCTGGACTGCTTTCCTATCTTGGGGAGTGACTCGGCCTACCTGCCCAGCTAGAAACCTTGGTTACCCTGACCTCTGTGCCTTTCTTAACTCCACGTGCAACTGATGCTGAGCATGCCCCTGGGATTTTACACTTTCACACCACTCAAATCTGTCCCCTCCTCTCTATTCTCACTATCAAGACTTTATATCCAAAAGACATTACACTTGCAATTCAAAAACTTATAAATATATTACTACACTCACACATTTAATCATACCACATTCTGCATGCTGTAAAGAACTCCTTTAGCCAAGTGGTTAAATGACTTTGCAAAACCTGTAAAACAACAGGCCAGCAATTAAGCTCATGTTTCCCAAACTCCTGATCCAACTTTCTTCTTACTGTGACTTATGGCTTCTCCTCTGTGGTTTAAAGATTTGACATGTTTCCTAGACTCTCGGGTAGGTCACTCTATATGTTAAAATAATTAAATATGATTTTTAAATCTGCAAAAACCCATTTTGTATTACCTCTCAGCTCTAGGACAACAAGTTAGCATGCAAAGTAATTCAGTATTAGATGTCTCCAGCATTAACGGAGTTTGCCAATGCTATACATAGGAAAGAAGAGGCCAAAGCAGAAATTCACATGGAGATAAAGGAACAGGGAGATTGGGGATGAAAGACTTTTTCCTCCTCAATCATAGGTGGACAATCCAAGTTCATGCAATACTGTAGCTATTTTTAGAAAACCAAGTTTGAGTTCTCAAAGTGTCCATATAAATTCAGATATTAGCTACCTGAAGATAAGCTAGCCATTTTTAAGGCTCGTCTACAACTCTTTAAGCAACTCGGTAGCTGAACTAATTCATACTGTAAAAGCAGGAATGCCAAATCCCACTGAAATTCTTTTCTTCTCTCTTCCTGCATTAAGATATTATCACAGCCAGGGCAGCTAGATTCAGGAATCCAAAGACAAATAGAACAGGCTGCCTAACTTTCATGGGCTTACGGTATCCTCTATGTGTCATGTATCACCTATGAAACATGTCACATATGTTACACGGTAGAGCACAATCCATACTTCAAGTGTTCACAAGAGGAAAAGATCATCCAGTGTGGTACAGGTTAGGAAAAGCATTCTGGAATAGGTGTCATTGGAGGAGAGCTGAATATACCGTCCTCAGGTGAAGCTGGAGGAAGGAGTTTCAAACAGAGGGGAAAACACAAATTAAGGCATACAGATTGCAGAAAGGTTGATAAGATAAAGACTGAATTACATAAGATAATTTCTTAGTTTCTCAGTAGGATGACAGAATAATCCTATATAACTATATCCCAGTACAATGTTTTAATCAAAACACATTAAATTTTTTTAAAATCCCAGTATGAGCAAATATATCAAAACAATCTTCAGACAAATACAAAGAATGTTAGTATCATTGCCAGAAAAACCTAATGAAAAATGTATACAGTTTTTAACTTTCCTTGAAGGGCCAGCCTCATGCCTCCCTGGCAGCAGCGAGTGTAGGAGCTCCGCAGCTTCCCCACGGTTGCTGGAGTCTCGTACAAGACTAACATGCGTACCCACGCTTCACTCTTCCACAGCCCCTTCCCATTTCTCACAATTTCTGGACAGTATGTCATTACTCAAAAAGATCAAGTCTTTTCTCTTTAAGAAAAAAAAAAAAAAAAAATCTACCCTCTGAACATAATGTTTCAAAAAACAGGGCCGGCCCGTGGCTCACTTGGGAGAGTGCAGTGCTGATAACACCAAGACCACGGGTTCGGATCCTATATAGGAATGGCAGTTTTGCTCACTGGCTGCACATGGTGCTGACAACACCAAGCCAAGGGTTAAGATCCCCTTACCGGTCATCTTTAAAAAAAAAAAAAAAGGACAGAGCAGAAGCCTTTTTAATTGGACTTTCAAGTTGTTCACTAAACACATTAGCATGTACCACACGCTTGGCCACAGCATAACTTACCATCACTAAGCTCACCTTTTTTCCTTTTTTCCTTTTTTTTTTTTTGGTGGCTGGCCACTACAGGGATCCAAACGAAGTTCACTTCTTATACGACATAATCCCGCTGTGAAAATGGCTTAATAGCTGACTTTCCTCATACGAAACCCAAGGAATACTGACACTGGAGAAACCAGTCTACAGTGGGTTCAGAAAAATAAGTCCTCCTTAACACAAGTCAGAAGGGCTGAGTTTTGGGGTTTTTTTGGGGGAGGGGGTAACTTAAAAATGTGTTTGTCAAAGGCAATTTTCCCTTGAAAAGTAATCATAAAGGCAGAATAATGGGAAGTTATTGCATAATAGATACAGAGTTTATGTGTAGGATGATGAAAAAGTTCTGGAAATAGAGGTGATAGTCACATAGCACTGTGAATGTAATTAATTCCATGGAATTGTATGGTTAAAAATGGCAAATATTATGCTCTATATATTTTGCCACAATGTAAATAAATATGAAATAATGGTGAAGGTTTCACTATTTCTTTCCCAGGGTTCTGGGACAGAGATTACTCTTTGGCCCCTAATATCCCTTCTCTCTTTCCATATGATGGAATTTTTAGCTGGGCATATTTCCAAGCCTCCCTTACATCTGGGAATGACTACAGAACTAAGTTCCAGCAGATGTGACAGATGCTGAAGGATCAAGTGGCAACTTCCAGGCCCTCTTTTCCATCCCCTCCTCCAATCTCCTGCCATGAACACAAATGTCTCCCCCTCCCACCATGAGTATGAGACCCTGGTACGGTGGGAAAGGTAATGCAGAGGTCTGGAAGGAGCGGAGGTCACTGAAGTCTTCCTGGAGCCAGCAGCTGCATATTCTCTAGACTCTCTTGGGAGAGAGAAAACTCTATCTTGCTTAAGCCACCGTTATTTTCTAACTCTTACCACAAAACTGAATTCTAATTGAAACAGCTTCTCACCCTTTTCTAATGCTAGAAATGCCAGTGGCCACTGCTCAACAGAACTAATACCATGCAACTGCTCCATCACTCCAGCCTCTGCTTGCCCTGGGGGAGACGGATTCCAGCAGTGCCAACCTTTCACGGTGCCCAGAACCAAAGCTTCTCAAATAAACCAGAAGGCTAAGTGGCTAAAGCAATAGAAGTAATTCAAACCTGACAGTAGAGCAAAGAAAATTCTAAATAAGGAAAGGATGGTTCCTGCTAGGAAAAACCACTGACAGGGTAGTGGCCTATGGTGCTCCTTGGTCACAGGCTGATGTAAACTGAGAAGCACCTGCATATGACTGGTTCAGAGCCTACTGCTCTGCCTCATAGGCAGACATGCAGGATCGTGCAAGGACTTCTGTGAGATGCTTCAGGGAAGCAAGGGTGGAGGGTATTCCAGACTGATGAAGCCACACCAGAAATAAAAGAGATGCTGATGGAACACACAGGTGAGTCCCCACCCAGCCTTCTCGGAACACAGTCCTGGAAGAGGCCTCAGCAATAAAAGCCCACCATTGTTTACATTTCATGGAAGGCAAAGAGAAATTATTCCACTTTTTAAGGATTCTTGAAACTTCCTCAGTTACTGATAAACATTACCTCCTTTGCCTAGGGTGGTTAGCAGGAACCTTACAATGGAAAACAGTTGTGTTCCTGCTCTACTTAAAGTTGTCCAACAGTGTCAAACTGCAGACTTCCTGCAAAACCAGGAGAGAAAAAAATCGGGGAAAACTGCCTCTTGCTTCCTAGCCTAGTCTTGGGGGAAAGGAGTCCATGGGATATAACACAGTAGTAAAAGAAAGAAATCGGCTAACAGCCCAGGGCCTGTAGGCTCACTGGGTCCCAATCAGGGACTGACCCACATAGGTGGAGTTAACTAAAAAGATGAGCACAAGAGATCATCTAATGTTCCTGTGACCAGAACTTTAGTTTTCACTATTGTAAAATTAAGGTAAGATCCCTAATTCTACTGTGAGGATTAAATGAAATGTGTTTATAAAGAGCTTTGCAAAGTGCCCAGCAGAGCATTTGTCCTTGGTGGGGAGGAGGGGAGAGAAGTGTCCATTCTAAGGCCAGCAGAAAAGAAAAACAGTAAGGATTCATATTCTGATTTCCACGGACTCTACAAAAGCAAATCAGGGGAAGGCTAAAAAGTGCCTGTTTCAGAATTTCATGTATTGGGGGCGGGGGGGGGGGCAGGGGGGCAGAATTCCTCCAACTGAATTCCGGTGAGCTGACA